GCAGAAAACACTTTAATTTGGATAAAATGAGAGTAATAGTTAAATTGTTATTATATCCAGATATAGAAAATTAGAATATGTTTAGATACAATAGTCCATGCAAAAATAAACTATAGTTTAGAAATAACAGTAATTATTAGTAATTCATACTATAAAATATATGTTCAATTAATTATTATAAGAATACAATCAAAATAATATTAATGATGTTATATCATTATGACCATTAACTAATTAACTTGAAAACTTATACTCAATTCAGTTGAAAATGAAAAGCATATTATAGTTTTGAACAAGAATGAACATTTTAACAATTACAGTCTAAAATAATGAGAAAATCTTGTGGAACATGTACAACAATTTCATGCCTAATTTTTTATAAAAGAGGGAAAACTATTGTTTAATTATTAATAGCAAAGTATAATATATTAGATACTTATCAGAATAATAATTTGTAATAAAATATCAGAATAATAATTTTTATCACATTATTACATCATTAACGTAGAATGTGCATAAATTTAGAATAACCTTACCTTTGTAGACATTATATAGTTTTATTAAGGTTAAAACTCCAATGAACAAAAATTACAAAACAAAAATATTTTTATACATTAATTTTTGAGATTTTTGATAATTTTACATAATATGATTATATCAATATATCTGTTTATACAAATTTTATACAAAACAAATACAGTGAAATCTTTCTAATTGCTATATGTACTTCTAAACATATAACTCCTAACAATAAACTTTATATACCTTGCATGTATCTAAAGTACATTTAATATAAATTCATTTCTTGACTGTTTAGATGTCGCAAAATAGATAAAGATTGTTGAACACTGAGTGCTTTGACTAGGTTTCAGCCCTAGTGAACAGAATAGCTGTACACACCAGCATAGAGCTTTACCTATATGTAATGTAAATACAAAATAGTTTCCCTTAAAAAGTCCTTTATAAAGAGATCTTTCACCTGAGGCAGAAAGTTCTTGCATGCTTTGGCATAATCTATTTAACCAATTCTCTAACACCTATGAGCTAGGATGGCAATTTTAGTTATTTTTAATGTAGAAGTTTTTTTTTAAGTCACTTTATTAAAGGAATTAAATTACATTTTCATACATTGGGGGTAAAAAGGTACTTACATGTGTAAAAAGGTACTTACATATATATTACCCAGTTAAGTGTGAAAGCTGGCTACCATCAACCCATTAAAGTTGGCCAAGATTTCACTAAAATTGCACCAATCATTCCTGGAGAATTCTGAAGGAACTGATGCCTCTTCATTTAACAAACAATCAGGATTCGACCGGTTTTGTTTCTGCACTTTGTAAAAAGGTTTCACTTATTTTGACTATTTTGTTAAGCCCTCTGACATTGCAGGAAACTTTATTTTGAAAGCTATGAGTACAAACTTCCTGCAAATAATTGTTCCAATCCATTACTGTTTTGTTAGCCATATTCAGCCAGCCATACTGTGTCCATTAATACACTTTTTTGATTACAAGTTCTCATAGCTTCAAAAATAACCCATTCCTAAATTTTAATCACCCCCTCCCCGAATGCTAGAAAAAATAAGCAATTTATATCCTTTTTCAGAAAAAAACAAAAGGTGGCTAATTAAGAATCAGTTGGGTCCTACATTTTAAACACAAATGCAGATGTTATGAACATGTTGTTACCATGTGCTTATCAATAACCCACATTAAATTGCACTGTTTGGAAACAGTTTCATGGTCAATGGGATAATATTCACACACACACACACACACACACACACACACACACACAAAAAAATAATAAAAAATAAATAAATAATAAATAAATAAATAAATAAAAAATAATAAATTAAAATAAAATAAAATAAATAAAATCTGAAAGTTATATTCCACCTAAATGTTTTGTGTGGGTGTTACCTTTATTTATTGCATATCATGTTATTCGCACTTAAATCATAAAATTCAATTCAACAGTAATATCTCAAAATAATTTTTAAATGAGCAAATCTTTAAAATTTCTGATATACACAGTCTCGTGTGCTGGAGATAAAAATGTTTTTTTTTTTTCATACAGTATTGCCATTGCTCGCTTTGAAATGCTTGAGTTTCTTAATAAAAAATTTGTTAAAGCTTTACAAAATATGAAATAGATAATAAAACAAATTCCAAGTTTGAGTATCCAAATCTCCCTATTCTAGTGGAGAACAACTTGTTGGAAATTTGATGTCTTTAGGTAACGTTGTTTTTTTGCAATGCAAGAAACATACATTCATGCAGATTCTTCATCATTTCTTTAAATATAATGTGGGGCTCTAATATTTGGTGGCAATAATTTGAAAAGTGAACCGAAATTTATAACGAACCAACACAAAATGCCAAAACAAAATTAATAGCCCTTCTGGGCTAAAACAAAATTAATAATACATTCATCTGATAGCATGTTATTAAACATAAGTTATCCAAATAAAGACTGCACACAATACAAGATGTTCTACTTTCCTCAAGGAAAAAATGAAAAGATGTTGCTATGTTATCATTTGAACATCAGTCTTGAATGGCAAAATTTAAAAATATTTAATATTTATGCAATGCAAGAATTATGAAAATAATATATAAAACAGATGAACTGGGGGTAAGATGTAATATTTGTAAAATTGACCATAATCTGCCAAACAATTGTGTGTGAAAGGAGTCTGTAACTAATGACAATAACAAAATAATTTAATTAGTGAACATTTTTATTATCAGATACTTTAATTCAACCTAAATGATATACATTACTAAATAGACCATGCTTGATTTCCCGTTATCTTTATGACTGATCTATTATATCTGTTTCAGTCAATTTCAGATTCAATATAATATCGATAAAGTTTAAAAACCTGCTTAAAATAATTAAGATAACATTATATAAGGGTGGGATCATATGTGATAATGGATTTTTACCTTTATTACATCAGAGTATTAACTAATAATGTACATTACATAATTTCTGCCACATGATATTTTAATGTATTTGAGGCAGTATGGTATACACAATGCAGATTCATACAATAAGGCCAAAATAAAACTGGTGTGGAATGATCTCTGCTGTTTAGACCATATTTACACGACATTCCGGAAACTGTTTTCCAGGTCATGTTTATTTCAGCCATCCTGTATTATGAGTAAAAATGACACTTTAAGATTTATAACTTAATTCTAACATGGATGTAATACTCTTGAATAAAATTATTGCTATGTAGTATCATTTGATGAGGCTATTGAACAATTTCTACAAGTATCTGAGCCATTTTCTAATAAAGGCAGTCTCCAATTCTGCATGGTATTAAAATTTCTAGGAAAATAAGCAGCATTATCAGAAAGGTAAAAATCATCAACTATTACTTCTAGATGGAAAGAAGACTCGAAAGGAATGCACAAAAAAGGTATATAAGGTTTCTAAAGTTAGTAAGAAAGAATCTGCTGCTGCAGAAATCAATTTCTAAATACATCTCTAAATACATCTCTAGCAATAATAAATAAAATAATAAACTGAGATTTACCACTTAAAAAAGCTAAAATACATAATTTTTAATTAATTCACCAATTTTTGCCAAAGTATGTGGCTCAATTAAAAAAAAAAAAAAAAGATTTATAGAACCCTGTACGAAAACTATTTAGTTAAAGAAATATCGAAATACACTGTGACCCTTGAAGAAGGATTGGTTTACCTAACCAACTGCAACACAAAAAGGTCTATTTATTGTCAAAATGAAGAGGGGGGGAAATGTAAAAACATAGTTTTGACAAACTTTCCACAAGGTGCTAATCATTGCTGTAAGATTCTCTTACAATGGGAAATTAAAAATAAGAAGAGTAGGAAAAAAATATTAAAAATCAACTCAATCTACTAACAAAAGAAAAGTTTTACATCCCATATGCACAGAAAAAAAATTTCAATTTGTTATGCCAATGACTTTCAAAGAGTAAACTTCATCATGACAAAGCAACAAGTTGTACTAAAAAAAAATACCACTGTTTTCCTTAAAAAAATGAAGTCTGATACATGTATTGCACATGTAACTTTTCGAGGTATTCCTGTGAAGTCCCCAACATTTCACCCATGGACTTATGCCTTTGCCCTCTTGAAAATAGCTTTTTTTAAGTGCAGTCCCACCACGGTTAATGGACTTTGAAAAATGGTGGAAGAGGAATTAAAATCAATATCCCTGGAAATTTTATGAAAAGCCCTTCCACCATGGAAATCACGACACAGATTTAATAGGTCAGGAAAAAAATATCAGATCAAACATTTAAAAAATACTCTCTATGTTTTAAACATTATAATTAAATGGCCCTGAAATCATTCTAAAAATGTATTAACACCCTCTGTAGATATATTCAAAATTATTAAAGGAAAAAAAAAATCTATTAATTATCAGACATGAAGTCTTAAAACTTTGTTGACCAATAAAAATTATTGGAACTGTTCCCAAATTTCCTATTAAAGAAATTTTTTATTCATTTACTGACAATAAAAAATAAATAAATAAGCCTCCCCCCCTTTTTACATTTGATGGTATTCTAAAATACTTTAAATCCTGTTTACTTACTACATAAGTATTATTTTTTCTTTACCATATTATGTAAATGCTTCTCCATAATAAAATATGCTGATCACGAAAGCAACCTGTAAAATGTTTCTTGATAGTAAAATATTCCGATAGCCAGAGCAGCCTATCATAGAAAGATTTCACTATACTATTCTTACACAGATATTTACTTACTAAGTAAAAACTTAATATAATATGCTTATTAACATTGCAAAGTAAAATAATTTCACAATTTTGCTTTGCAATACTATGGTTTTACTTCAAAGCTAAAAATGACTAATGATACAAAATTTTTTTTAAAGAATTAAAATGAATTAGGAAATCAAATAGTTAAGCAAATTGAAATAAAAATTCTTATATGTGTGAAAAGATAAGATTTCAAACAATTAAAAAGCTTTACCTGATTTTCAACAGAATCTGTGGCATCATCCATATCCATCAAGCTGAAACGGACTGCATCACTGATGGAAGTGAAAGATCTAGTTGGCACTTCAGAAACTTGGTTCCCACCTTCAGCTTTACCTTGGGAACATATTTTACCAGGAATTCTGAGACTTGAAAGTATATTCCCAACTGTTATTGGTTGAAGTTGCTTTTGTTGATCATGACTAACAGCTATATTTTTCGAAACTGTACAAACTGCTTCTTTTTTCTCAACAGGCACATTAGTTGAGGTAATTGGAGCTTTATTCATAAGAGGAAGATTTTCCTTTTCAGATACAATTGCTGCTGCAACATTTACACGTGTTGCATTACTATCTTCAGAGGGAGGAGACTCAGAAGCTGCTACCATTACTACATCAGTATTATCTACATTTTCATTAACAGGACTTGGGCAAGGTGCAGTTGGTGTAGTACCAGGACCCATGTCAGTATCAGTATCAACAACTTTATCTGAAGGTGAATTTTGAATGCTTTTAGATTCAGAAATAGAATCTTGTGGCATATCTTCTTTTAGAATTTCTTGATCTTTCATTTCTAGATTTAATGCTGAAGGTTCTACAATTTTCTTTTGTTTTGGGGAACTAGGAGCACTAGCAGGAGAATTTGGAATACTTGATATAGCTAAATTCGAATTATTAGATTGTGGAGAATGTACAACAGATCCTTCATTTTCAGCTAAGTTTTTGTTATCTTCTTGTTTTGCTTCCCTCAAAGAAGCATTATCATCAGAGAGTGGTTTTTCTTCTGTACCACTGAACTTCAGATCACTATCACTTGGAGTATCATCAGTATTGGTGCTTTTAAGTAAAGATATTTCAGGTGGTATAGCACATATTTCAGATTTATTTATTGCTGGTTGTATATCTGAAGATAAATTAACAGCTGCTGTTTGCTCACTAGTAACTACATTACTAGGTACAATTGGTTCAATTTTGTTTACAGCAGGAGGTTTCAAGCGTGGTTTCTTGGCTTGAGGTTGAGTAAGCTTTTTAGCTGCTTGCTTTATGATTTTGGGCACTGTTTTTGTTACAGTAGTACTGGCTTTCTGTCGAATAGATGGCAATGAAAATCTTGCAGCTGACAAGCATGGCATAACATTACACTGTTGTTGACTAGACGGAATAATGCGTGCACTGTTTCCGTTTTTCACCAATATAACACCTGACAATGGTTGATTAGCAGATGCAGTAGCAAAAGCATGATTTTCACACTCAGTTGAAGGCAAGGTTGAAGAACTTCTGATATTGCCACATGTATTTATAGGTATCATCAATTTTCCAGCAACAAGCTTATTTTTAGATGCATTATGAGCAACAGGGATAGCAAAAGTGGTCATCTGAGGAGATGCAACAGAAGTTGGATAATTTAATCCACTGCTGAAAACAGTTCCCATCATATTATGTGCATCGGAACAAGAAGGACTTGCTAAACTAATAGGTATTAATGTACCACTGCTTACAGAAGTATTACTGTTCTTCATAGTATAAGGTAAATTTTTCCTTTCTATAATTACATGCTTAATATTTGATGAGAGATTCTGAGGCTGATTGAAAGACTTCACTGAATTTTGTACCACTGAAACCTTACCTGGTAGAACAGGTATAGGAGATTTACTAGCTTCTGAATCGGAGCCCACAATGCAGTTAGAAGACTGTGCAACAGATAACAAATGCGAAGTCATTTTCGAGCAGACGTATTTTAAAACAGCTTGGTTGTTAGCTGATGAGATGAAATCTGAATTAGCATTGCTGACTACAACATCTGGCTGCTGTCTTGCCAACAACAACTGCATTTTCATTATATCTTCAGGGGAATAATTATCAAAATTTTGTTGCACTAAATGTTTAATTTGTGGATTTGCTGGGCACTGATGAACTAATGGTGTTTCATTTTCACGACTTCTGCTTTGATTTGAAAGGTTAAGAGCAACTGATCTCTGACGAATTTGAACAGCTTCCATTTTCTTCACACTTGCAAACTGAACAATACGTGAGTAATCACCCACTGAATTAATATTACTACCATTCAAAGTATCCTGAGGAGTAAGATTTTTTAGTCCAGCTTGACAACTTTCAATAACAATTTTCTTTTTACGTTTACTTGACTTTGACTTTTCATGTTTATGCTTGTCATGGCATTTTCCTTTTTCTTTCTTTTTATTGAAGCTTACTTTTCTTTTCTTTCTTGACGGCTCATTGGACAAATCAGATGAGCCAATGCTGGGACTTACACCAACAGGAAAACTAGAGGCATGAGGATGCTTTGAGGTAGCTGCAGGTATTTTTGAATAACTATTTGAATGTTCTTTGACTAAACGCATCAATTCACCAGAGCTGAAATCACTACAGTAATCACCAGATATGAAACCTGAGTTCCCATCTTTTTTCTTTTTTAACTTATGCTTTTTCTTTTTATTTTTTACATAATCTTTATTGGCTTTTCCATGAGTAAAATAATGTTTTTTGGCATGCCCTTTAGCTCTTTTACCTTTTCTCTTTTTCCTTTTCTTTCGCTTAATTAATTCACGCTCTGCTCTAGAACTATGGCGTAATTTTCTTAAAGCCACTTTTTCTGGGTTTTTATCATGATTTCTGTGTTTTTTATGCTTTTTCTTATGGCCTATATGAGAAGAAGAGTGCTCTGTGTAAAAAAGTTTTTCCAGTGGAATCTGAGGGTAATGTATATCAGACAGATTTACATAGGTAGCCATATCTGTCACTTTATCTGTATTCATAAAACGTTTGAACACATGGCTTTTATCAGCATAACGATCTTCAACTATACTATCATTACTCTGATGTGATTGAAATTCTTGAAATGCAGTTAGCTCAGAAGTGGAATCTGCTTCACTATCTATGCTTCCATTTAACTGCATGTTCAGCATCATACATCTTAAATTGGTAACCGTTTCTAAATAATCTTCACACAAATGTTTAATTTGACTCCACTTATTACAACTCTTTAATTGTTTATTCCTCAAACTCTCCAGAACGATGACAAAATCTGACAAAAGTTTACAGGAAATACCTGGTATTTTTGAATCTAATATAATATGAGAAAATGAATGTACGGGGACAGATGCATTATTTTTTACATGTGAATCAGGATTCATTTCTGATAAACATATATTTTCACACATACTTTTGCTAGTGTTTGTTTGGATTTTATTGGAAGGAAACAATTGTATTTCTGATACATTTTCATGTTCTTTACTTTGCGACTGTTCTTTGGTACTAATGGAAATATTCTCATTTGAAGATAATGTGTTATGTTTTACATTCAAAAGTGAATCTGTTTCTCTATTTTTACCTACAATTTCTTCAGTGCAAAACTCATCTGCTACCTCAGAATGACCATGAACATTTTCATTATTTAATGGGGCAGTTTTCTCAAAACCATTTATGCATTGGTGGTTGCAATCTAATGACTGACAGATGTCTAATTTTTCTTCAAAATTTTCATTACAATTTTGAATGTCATTTTTCATTTTCACATTTACAGCAATATCTGCTTCACAAACTGTATCTTTAGAATCAGGAGAACTGTCCCTAATAAGTTCTGATGCAAAACCATTTTCTTCATTTTTATTAGCACTTACAGTCAAATTTCCATCTAAGCAATCTTTATCAATGGTGGCATCACTTTCTAAAGTTTTACTTAAATCTTCAGTTTTACTGCAAAGACTGACTTCTATTTTATCATTAACATTTTTGGTTTCAGAATCAAAATTTGGTATTGATAAATCTTTTTCTTTTTTTTCCGTAATGTCATGGTTGCAATTTACACTAGGGACAAATGTATCACAATTTTCTTTTTTGCTATTTGCACATTCTGCTTTAATTAATGTTGATGGTTCCAGGACTGTCTCAGCTATTCCATTAGTTTTTAAATCAGTTACTTTAGAATCTGATTCATTTTCCTCACTAGTTATTTTATCTGTTTCAAGATAAGCTGATGTTTCACTATCTTCTGAACGATTAGAATTGCAGTTTTGGGTACAATGTTCATTAATTTCAATACTATTAATGTTTGAACAAGTATTACTAGGCAAAATATTTCCTTTAACTTCATTTTCTTTCAAGTCTTCTATAGACATATCATCTTTTCTGACAGTTATTTCATTTAACACTGAAGATTCTTCCATTCTTCCTTTCATTTCCTCCATAATAGCACTGCTGTTTTCTTGAATATTGTTGTTTACTGATGCAGACAAAACAGATTGTTCTTTTTCACAGCTGTCAAGTAGTTCATCCCCAACTTGAATGGCCTGATCACACATGATGACAGATTTTCGTTTTGTGATGACAGGATGAATGTAGTTATGGGAGCATGGATTACTGTTGCATGTTTTGTGTTTGCAGAGAATGTTCTTTGAAGCATTAGCTTTTAAGGCTTTTTCTTTGGCTATCTGAAGGGACAATCTCTTAATCCATTCTAATCGTTCTTTGGTTGGATCTAAGGAAAATGCACTCAGCATGCATTCCAAAGAAACTTCTTTATTAATTGAATTAAACATGGATGATAACTTAAAATACATAGCTGCCATGTGGTTTTCAATTTCTATAACATATTCTTTATTGTCTGCTTGCCTAGCTGCTTCTAAATAATTTAAATCTGATGTCAGTCCTCTAAGATACATTTCCAAATATAAAGGCAAAAGAGACACACCAAACTATAAAAAGAAAAGAATAGAATAATATAATAAAACTATCAAGGCATACTGTTCTCTCAATATTTTAAAGTGCTAGTTCAATACATCTACTTTTTAAATTTTCTACAATGAATAAACTGGAGTACTTTAGTATATATGGAACCACTCCCTAACTACAGCAAATTTTAAATATTTTAAGATGAAAATATACAAAATATTTTACTATATTTATAAATTCTATGACATAAGTGCAATAAATCAAATCTTTACTGCAGTTATGTTAATATCATAACATGCAAAATGGAATGAAGTAACCCACATAATAGCAATAGTATTATAACAAACATTATCTGTGTGATCTCCTTCCTTTTAAATTAAAATAATTTGAGATTCAGATTTGGTCAATATAGGTATAGATTATAAGACATATATATATATATATATATAATATATATATATAAAGTGATAACAATATTGAGAAAGAAATCATGTTTAAGTTTTCAAATATTCATTTATCACTGAAAAAATATAAATAATACAATACACAAGCATTAAAAACTATATGCAAGAACTAGCTAACAATCCTGAAGAATATGAAAGAAATAATAACACTAATTTAAATAAAAAACTACTTTTAAATTTTACAAAATGATAAAAAGAGCAGATAATAATATTAAATATATGGAATCTAGATTTAAATGGAAAAAGTCAAAAAAAGAAAGATATGAAAGATATCAATAATTAAATTATGCTAATAAAGATCAAGATTTTTAATAATAATGTAAAGCAAACAGTTAATGATGCTTAGTTTTTTTTTTTTTTTTTTTTTTTTTTTTTTTTTTTTTTTTTTTTTTTTTTTTTTTTTTTTTTTTTTAATATTTTGACATTCATTAAACAAATACATTCATATCTAAATATAGTTAGAAAAATTATTTTATGTATACATGAATGATTTCTAAATTATGTATGAAATTATGAAGTCATAACTCTGTATCCACAGATTCAATATCTGGTTTAAAGCGGTAGTGTGGGGGGGATTCACTTAAGTTGTTAAGTTTTCAAATGGAAGAAAAATGACAACAGTTCATAACATAACAAAAATGAAGCAGTTCATACACTCCCAAACAGCTGCATAATCATTTGGAGCTAAGATAATTAAATATCGAACATGAAAATGATAATTATAGAACCTTTACAAGTATTTTCAAGTTACAGGAAATTCCTTCAAACTATGAACTACAGACTAATTTGACATGCAAAGAACACCAATGTTAGCAAGAAATCTCAACCATTAATGATCAGAAAATATTTTATTCAATTTTTGTACCCCCCTTATCTATGCTTCCATTTAACCTTTCTTCTACTCTTGTTTTCAGCATTTTTTATATCCTCATTAGTATTCCATTAATGCAGCTCCCTTTCTTTTTCCAAGCTCTTTTTACCATAACAAGGACATCAAAACAAAAGACTACTGATACTAACTACTATCAAACTATTAGTGTTAGGAAAATGAATAATTAATATTTCTTCAATTGTCTGAAACGTATGTTATACCATACAGCATAAGAACTTCATTTCGCATTTTTCACTCTTCTTAAGTTTCTGTAAATTAAATTAAAATGCCAAACTAGTTTACTTTCTAAGATATAAGAGAAAGTTTACACCCAGCAAATATATTCTACATTACTTTGGTAGTACAGTGTGTAATATATTGTTACACGGAGAACACTTTTTATCACATTATTTACTATTTGCAATATCTTGTGGACATAAGTTATGGTTATAGTGTAGAATTGGGTGCCCCTTCGATTAGCGACAATTTTTCTTAAATTTTGGCCATGAAATCTCACTCCTGGTTAACATGATAGTTTTAACTTTGATTTAGCTTCCTGATTTTATTTAAATGAAAATAGATTGATGTGTACATGGACAAATTTAAGGCAGTGCACAATGCCTAGTTTATGCAATTCTAGGATTTTTTTTTTAAGTGAAAACAGATCGATGTGTACATGGACACACAGTTTGTGCAATTCTTTGACTTCTTATTTTGGTTTGTGTAGTGGCCATCTTGAAATTGTGCCTTCCTGGCGCTGATCTTGGCATCAAAAAAGAATTGCCAAGAAATAAGGGGAACCCAATTGTAAACTTTTACCAAGTTATTAATTAAATGTAATAATAATTATGTAAGTTACAAAAGTATCCTGCTTTATGCATTATTCATTATTACCTGCAGTTTACGAACATGTTACCTATGGATAGATACTAAGATACTCCAATAAATATATGTTATGTAGGATGAAAATATTAAAAAAAAGCACAGAATTTTTATAAATTTTAAATACCGACAAATGTCACTTTTTAATTTACAGTCTATGAATAGATACAATATGATGTAATATGCAATCTATCACTTTTAGTAATTTAATTATTACATGGTGCCACTAAAATGCCATTTTTTAATTCGAACATGTGATAAAATGTCACTAAAAGAAAATGATTAAAACAACAACCAATTACAGTCCAACCATCTAAAAAATAACCAACTAACTAAAAAGAGGTAAATCATATACCAGGCGATTACCACGATTTACTTACTGTAGAAAAGGTTCCTATCAATTATTTTTAAAGAAATGGATACTATTTACATTACAAAATGGGAAAATCACAAAAATTCATTGTACATTCAAATTTATAACCAATCTAATAAAATATCAGGAATCAAATTCATTAAAAGCTGTGGCTTTAGCTACCTATTAGTTGGTAGTTCTTGGAGAAAAATAACATATGCTATGAAAGAAAGAGACATAAATCAATCGCATTTCCATATATTATGATTTTTTAATACATTATATTTATCAATAAGTTGGTTAATAGATGATCTTCCCTTCAGATCAAAATTTGAATTATATAATCATAAAAAGAAATATGATTAATCATAAAAGGAAAAAATTATGATAAAAATCAACTAATGAAAATCTATTTTACTCAATGATCTAGTCCAATTAATCTTTGAAAAACAAATGCAAAGTTACGAAACCAAACAATTTTCTTTTGTAAAAGAGGTAAACAAGGTATAAACATTTTAAATCAGCCATAAAAAGAAATAACCTTACTTTTTCCCATAAAATGTCAACAAATAAATAAAACTGTGCGCTACAGGAAGCATGGCCAACCAATAATTTCTGTGCAGCTTCTTGAATTTCAGATGCTGATTTCTGTTTCTTAGCTTGCAGTTCACACCACAATCTCATTAATTCCTAAAAATCAAACAAGAAGTATATTTAAATGTAAAGCAAACTTCTAATTTTAGTTGGCTAATTTTAGTTTAATCTTCATTTTAATTTGAATATTTCCTCTTTCTGTTCCAAAAATAGTAACTGCTTATAATAAAACTCTTTGACCAACATCATTTCCAGATTAATTCATGTCATATAACTTTTACATAATGTATTTTTAAACATCATGTTTTGTGAGCTGAAACTCAGAAAACATGTTAGCCAGTTAAAATGTTGTGTAAATTCAAACTTATCGTGTCATTTCGTATTCATTCGTGTCTTGAACGTATTCATTCGTGTCATCGTATTCATTCGTGTCTTGAACAAAATGCACTTTGCTTCTGCTCCTCCACTTATTTATAGTACTTGCTGCTTCTCTTCTTAACACAGATATATATATATATATATATAAATGCAAATGTTTTGGAATAGACATGATTAATGTGTCAAATAATTTGTGGCTGGAAATGCTAATTAATTTATTTTTTAAATGAACTCTGCAATGCAAGTTTGTTCTTCATTATGCATCTTCTATATCTACTACAGCATTTGTATAAGGTATAAGGTACATAAGGTGTGTATGTATAAGGTACAGAACTACAATAATTTAATCAACATTTTCTCATGCTATAAATATACGGCATTATTCATCAGTTTAACATAATAAAATGTGAGATAACTAAATGCTCATTAGCCTACATTAAGAAAACTAATAAAAAATTATTCCTATTTTGATGTTAAAAAATTAAATTATTTACATGAGTTTTTCAACAGTTAATTGACATAACATGATTCAAGTACAGTTATGGGCCAAAATATACAGTACTGAAACTCACACATGTCGAACATGTGTGTGTGTGTTTGTCAATGGGACATAGCTCCAGCTGCACATGTTTATAGTAGTGAAAAGGAAGTTATGTTGTGTGTTGGAAATGGGTCTTTCAACAAAGGAAAAGGATTCATAGTTGAGCATTATTGCTGCTCATATGGAAACAATCGTGAAGGTGGACAGAGTTTGAAAAAGGTGGCAGAACAATTCCTACAGGAGTTTAATAAGACAGCACCAAGTAACACAGTTATGCTGTCTATTGTTATGAAATTGTGCCGTTCTGTACACTGCCAATGGAAGGAGAGGTCTAGTCAACCAGTAACTGTTTCGACAAATGAGACCCATGCACATGTTCTATAGCAGATGCTGCATTCACCCTGACAAAGTCTATGATGAATGGCCTTGAAACTGAACATCAGCAGTACGTCCATTCGCCAATTTCTTAAGAACATAGATGAATTTCTGTACCAGATACAGATTGGACAATGCTTGACAGAGCAAGATATGCAAGCCAGGATGGTGTAATATAGAACATTTTTGGCCATGGTGTACCAAGATCCAGATTTCTTGAAGAATGTGTGGTTCTCTAATAAAGTCACATTCACTTGAACGGCTACATGAATCGCCAAACAACTCACTTCCTTGGTTTTGAGTGGCCAGATGTTATCATCCAGAAACCGCTACACAGTGCACGTGTGATGATATGGTGAGCCATCTCAGCACACGGTTTATTAAACCCCTATTTTCACTGGAGATGATGAAAGCAATAATCTTACCATCACCCAAGAATGCTGCAGGGGTTTACTAAATCAAGCCATTTCTTCAGGATTTGAAAAGGTTCTGTCGTGCAAGGAACATTCAGATGAATAGACAGTAATATCAACAGGATGGAGTGACCAGCCATACCACTCAAAAATCTCTAGCCATGCTGCAAGAAAACGTTCCAGAATGAATCATTTCACATGGTACTGACTTCCCATACCCCTGACTTTACACCACCTGATCCCACTCAAAAATCTCTAGCCATGCTGCAAGAAAACTTTCCAGAATGAATCATTTCACATGGTACTGACTTCCCATACCCCTGACCTTACACCACCTGATGCTACTTGTAGGGAATGTCAAAAGAGAGTGTGTTCAACTGTGAAGATTCACCAAAAACTATGCCTGCATTATGTGAGAAAATCAACTCATTTTACTGGCGTCTGCAGCTACCTTTGTTTTAGGATATGTCTGAGGATCTGCATGAACAATATAAACCACTCTTTACAGCAAGGCAGCGCACACTTTGAACACTTACATTATGCAAACCGTAGTAAATCAACACGCTAATAGTGTGTGTATGTATATAATGTGTATGTTAATTTCTTTCAGGAGAAATAAACTCACAAATGAAAATAATGCAATTTTGTTAATCTTTTCATTTCAATACTGTATATTTTGGCACATACTGTACTTCACGAGCTCAAAAGAAAAGAAAAAAATTACGCATGCCAATTTTTTGAGTAAAAAAACACAAAAACACGACTTGGTTAACAAAATTATATAAAATTCTCTTTTCATAAATCTGAACTTACATAGTTTTCAGAAATGGCAATTTTGAGCTCTTGCCTATAGTTTTCAGAAATGGCAATTTTGAGCTCTTGCCTATTATACAAACAAATGTATACACATCGCTCAAGATGCTACTAATTATACAGCTATATGCAAATTACAGAGGAATACAAATGTAGAATTATGCTGCTTAATTATTACATCATTAGCAGTTACTTTAGGGTCTGAAAACTAATTTAATAAAATGCAACTCCAACCCCCCCCCAAAAAAAAAATTGACCTAACAATTTGAAATGTGGAAGGTACGGGAGCATCTACATTGCAGAAATTTAAATGATTACACAGCACAAAACAAACTTTGAAATAAATTTGGACAAAAATTATAAATTTATAATGTTTAACTTATTAACTTTCAGCAATATTTTTATATAAAAAATCAATATCCCTTAAAATGCCATGTTAATAAATAGAGAATAATACAGCTTATAACCGGAACCTGCTCTTACTGAACTTGTAGCACTGATATTTTACAGGCAAGCTTATAAATTTTGGAGACAGCATCAAATCATGTTACAAAATAAAAATTTTACTAAAAATTAAGAAAATTAAATGCATCCATTAAGAAGTATATTCATATTGATATGAAAAGATTTATTACTTGTAAAATAAATCTCATATACTGCCTTTAAATTTAGCTTATGTAAAGATTCAAAATTGAAGAATAAAAATACTTATTCCAATAACTTACACTTGTGCAGCAGTAATCAGACTGAAAGAGGAGATCACGGACAAGAAATAAATTAATTAAGGTTTCAGTTAAAGGTTCAGAATCTTCCATTTGAGAACTCTGTGCTCGGTAAATTAAACGAACACCATCATGACAACTGCAAGATGATGACTAAAAAAATAAAATAAAGTATTAGTGAGGTATTCACAAAAACAGCAAAACAGTGAAAAGTACACCAAGGAATGTCAAAATAATGATCATCTATGTTGCATTACAAATGCGAGTTTAATACAGTAGTTCAATTTATATGATCAGAACCTAAACAAAAATACTGTTTTATTAATAATTTACTTCTTGTTTATGTGTACCAAATTCCTTATAATTCAACATGCATCAAATTTACAAAATTCTATAAGAAATGCAAGCAAAAAAATTTACTAACTTGTCCATATTCTCATCCAATCTTGGCTGTTCAATACTGATTAAAAGCTCTTAACTGCAACTTACCACGCCCTTATCAGGGCTGGTTCTAAAAGTTTAAAAAAGTTAATAATAATAGTATATAATTTAATTAATAACTTCTGGCAATGGTGACTATTGTTATCATCAGAAGATCACGTTTCCTAATGCTGTTGTTCCAAAACATGTAGTTCTGCTTTAGTTAGTAATTCCAATTTAAACTCCCTATTTTTCGTCCTGATATTTCTTTTCCTGTTTTTGTTATAGAAACAATTTTTTTTAGGTTATGGGCAAAAGCAAGTTACCACACTGTGTCAAGTGCTTTGAATTGATAAGATTCATGCAGCCTAATCTTGTAAGTGTTTCGTTTTTGTCGTAGCATTTGAAATTAGTTTAAATATCAGTATCAAAGATCCAAGTAAAGCCTTTAGCACGTGAAAACAAATGGCTTATATGGAAATATGGGATAACATTTTTATGCACTATCCCTTTAATTGCTCGGAACAGCGTTCTGTCTATAGACAACAAGTTACTCATTTACAAATCCGTATTGCTTCCATGCTCTGTTATGCCTGGACAGTATGGGCATATTCTTGCAAATCGGACAGATAGAGGCTCCAAATAGCCCAAAATTGTATATTACATCAAATTTCAAACTCACAGCGGTACATTCATAATAACCATATCCATTTTGAGCTCAAAATGGACCAGCTTAATACTATTTATTGTAAATTAGCAAGGAAATTTTTCGAAAGCCAAAAAAATATTCAAAACTCTGCCATTAAAATATGTACGATTTTATTATCATCAATAGATGTTTTAAGTGTCTTGGGTACAACCATCGTGCTGATGAATGTCGTGAGCGAACAGCCTGTTTTAACTGTTCTGGAGAACATAAGGCAAGGGATTGTTCGAATAGGAATGCTGTAGCTTGTATAAATTGCATCCACTTCAATCATAAAACAAATAACAGCTATAAAAAAGTGAATGTTAATCACAAACCTTTTTCAGAATGCTGTCCTAGTCATGAATTTATGAGAAAGAACATTCAATCTCGAATTGATTATGGCTAGACGCGTTCTAAAGTGTGTGCAGTTAAATCTTCATAAATCCAAATCTGCGACACAACAGCTAATTTTAAATATGGAAGCTGATGATATTGACTGTGCTTTGATTCAGGAACCTCATTATTACAAGAAATTTTCTTCCAGGATATCCTGGCACTTATAGACTTTATTGTGATCCTAATTCTGATAATGTAAAGGCGGCAATCATTATTCGATCACGTGATCTATCAACATTTCTTGATTATAAAAATACGGATTATAATATGGTTACCTTGGATATTACTGTTGGCTCAACTGTGCTCACTCTTTTTTCATACTATTTTGAACCCTCAAGAAACATTGACTTAGATCTTCATAAAATTAGTCAAGTCTTTATGTCCAAAAATCTTAATCGACTGGTTTGGTGTATGGACTCTAATGGCAAATCTGAATTATGGTTTAGTCCCTATTCTGACTCTCGTGGAGATAAACTGAGTGAAATTTATTTCTGCCAACAACCTATTTGTTATTAATGAAGATTATGGACCTACGTTTCAGGCAACTCAGGGTTCTAGTTATATTGATGTTACTGTTATTGGTTCAGATCTTCTCCAGGATATTTCGAGTTGGCGACTGTCTGAAAAAGAATCCCTTTCTGATCATATGATGATTGAATTTGAATTTTTGTCTTTCTACGTTCTTACGAGACACCTCAAATGTTCCTTTTAAAATCTTCAATACAGGGAAAGCAAATTGGGATCGTTTTCGAAAATTTTGTTCTTCTCGCATCACCCGTTTCATTGATATTCTTAACGACAGTACTGACGGGTTCTCGGACTAAATACTCTTGTTGAGAATTTTAGTTCTGTTCTTCTCCAGGCATCTCAAATTTCCATACCTGTTAGGAATCATGGTAAGCACAATGTTCCTTGGTGGTCTGCCGAAATTTTTTGTATATGAGAAAAAGGCTTAATGCCTCTAGGCGTAGATTTCATTTCAGTCACGTTGTAAAAATCCGCCTCTTAGAGAACTTTATAAAAGTAAATATCTTGAATATAGAAAAGTTTACAATCTAAAGCTTGCCGATGCTAAATCTCAGTCTTGGAAAACATTTCTTTCGACCATTGATGTTCGCAATGTATGGAAAAAGATTTACACGTATGGAGTTAAAAGAGATTTCATGAAAAAAATTGAAATAAACTGGTATTTGTCTTTCCACTGGAGAGACAACCAACTCTTTAGAAGAGACAATTACTGCTGTGCTTCAGAAATCTTTCCCCTCGGATCTAGAGGAAAATGATGATGATGATTTGCATAGGGAATACCGTCAAGCTGCGCATACTGCTTATTCTTCTTTTTGTAGATCCTATGTTTTCTTGTGATGAAGTTAATACAGTTATTTCTATGCTGGAACCAAATAAATCACCTGGTCCTGACTCTATTTCGAATGATTATTAAAACAGTTTCATTTAATGTGTTCCTCAATTTCTCCATAAACTTTTTAACGTTTGCTTAAATGTTGGCATTTTCCCACGTGTTTGGAAAACATGCTCAAGTAATTCTTATTCCTAAAGGAAATGAATGAGTCTAGGATTCCTTGCCTAGATAACCTTAGGTGTATAAGCTTACTTCCTGTTTTGGGTAAGTGCTTGGAAAAACTTTTATTAACAGAATTTGCTGGTATCTCCGCCATAGAGACCTTCTTTCTGGTAATCAGTATAGTTTTTACACCTCAAAAAAGTTCTGAAGACGCTCTTTTACGCTTGAATGAAATTGTTCAGAGAGGAAAAAAGAAAAACTTGCACACTATTTTGGTCTTTTTGGATATATAAGGGCGCCTTCGACTATGCGTGGTGGCCTTGTATTCTCAATCTTCTCAAAAAAGTGGAACTTCCAATGAATATTTTGTCACTTGCTGCTGATTTTTTAAATGATCGGGCGGCCAAACTGCAATTGGGCTCGGCTTCTGCAATTCGTCACCTTGAAAGGGGTTGCCCTCTAGGTTCTGTTTCAGGACCTACATTTTGGAATATTATTATTAATGATCTCCTATTAAAACTGGAAAATCTTGCTTGTTGTGATACTATAGCCTTTGCGGATGATGTTTTGTTTTGCTTCTAGAGTAGGGACCTTTCTGCTACTTTTTTACAGGCACAAGAGACTTTAAATTTCGCCTCCAACTGGTCAAAAGGTTTTAAATTAGATTTTAATCCTGATAAAACCAGGATTATGATTATTGAAAAGCGAAACATCTGTTATGATGCATTTCAGTTATCTCTCGATGGCACCCCTTTGACTGTGGTAAAGCAAATGAAATATCTTGGGGTTTTTCTTGACTGTAAATTTTCTTGGAAACAACACTTAACTTGTATCAGAGAAATGTGATAAATTACAGCGTGGATTAAGTTAGTCGTATTGCACGCAACACATACGGTATTAATTACAACGTTCATTCGCTCATCTATAAACAAGAATTGCCCCCTTCAGTATGTATGGCTCTAGAGTCTGGGGTATATCGCTCAAGAAGAAGATAAATTATAGATATTTACGACGTGTTCAAAGGCGGATACTTCTGCGGGTTATATGTGGGATATCGTACCGTAAGCTATGAGTCTGTTTATGCAATTTCTGGCTTTCCTCCAATTGACATTGCCATTCTTCATTCTATTGCTTATAAGGAAAATATTTCTGCTTCTACTGTCTCTCAGTATGATTGTATATTACCTCTATCTGATCTCCCTCATCCTTCAGAAAGAAATGCTGTTAATTTTATTCAGTTTAGCAATAAAGTCGTAGATGATGATTCGCCTGTAACTTGCTATACTGATGGCAGCAAAATTGATGGCAAGGTTGGTCTCGCATTTGTTTCTTCAAAAATGGTCTTGAATTTGAGCACTTTTTCAATTTAGAATCAGAGATGAATGTACCGTTTTCATAGCTGAACTTTTGTGCTTAAACTTCGCCATCAAAGGGGTCTCTAAACAAAACAGTGCTGTTTCAGACTATCTCATTTGTACTGATTCCCTTTCATTCTTGGAGATCTTAAAATGTATTTCTTCTTCTAATAATATCATTATTGAGATTCAAAAAGAACTGAAAAATCTAAAGGATAAAAATATTTCGGTTTTCTTTTCATTTGCTCGTGGTCATACAGGTGTTGTTGGGAACGAACGAGCCGATTTCCTTGCTAAGACTGCGACTAAGCAGGAAAATTGACACTTTTGTCAATATCCCCAATTCCTTCTATAAGAAGTTCATGTATAAAAGCATTGTGGAGTCGTGGAATCACGAATTCATTAATTCAAATAAAGGGAGTTTAACTAGAAGATTTTTCCCTTCTATTAAAATGAGATTGTCGTGTCATCATTTCTTCACAAATTATAAATTAACCCAGTTTCTTACTGGACATGGGAATTTTAAAAGTTATTTGAACAGATTTAAGTTGAGTCCTGAGTCTGTCTGTGACTGTGTCCTCGGCGGCGAGGAGAATGTAGAACATGTGCTTCTTCTTCTATGTCCTAAATATGAGAACGAAAGAAAAGTCTTGAAACTGGGACTGAAAAATTTTAATATTAACTGGCCTCCAGAGTTTTACCAATTTATTTCCGAGAGAAGTGCTTTTAACATTTTTTGTCAATTCATTGTAAAACTGTGTAATAATCCTTA